TAAAGTAGTTCTTTTCTTTCATCTCCGATCTGAGAGTTTGTCCCTTGATTAAGTATATATTAGCCATATAAGGGATATTCCATACTCCCCTGTAAAAAAAGCCCACATGCAAATAGTTTAAAGTCATGAAAACTGATTTGTTGCCTATTCTATCAAATCAGTGTCTCTGTATTTGCTGACAAGACCAAGCAAGTTCCAAGGAAATGAAGCTGAAAGTTTCCCAAGACATTTGAAAAACTACAGCTGGACATTGTGGACATCTCAAATGTAGTCATAGGCAGTATTTCAACTTTTATGAAGTATTGTTATGAAAAATAGAAAGGTCAAATTTTCTAAAGAGTTTTAGCTACAAATGTACTTCATGTTTCCATAGTTAAGGCAATCAGTCAAACTCTTATAATATTATTCTACACTACCAGATGGAGAAAGTAATTCTAAACCAGATTTTTAAGCGAGTTTCAAGACTTCACAGAGGCTTCACACAGCTGGTCTGACCTCCTCACACAAATACCCACGGACCACAGCAGGCCACGTATTTATGGCAGTTGGGCCAATATCAACAAAAAAGCATTGCCGTCACAATGCTCGCTCTGCATTTCCTCCCTCCCAGTGCCACGAGCACATCTTTCAGAGCGATTGAAAACGAGCCAGTCTTATTGAAGCAGTCAATCTGTTTCAGACCCTTTTGTTCTTCCAGGGCAATGAAAAGGCATGACTGCACAGGAAAGTCAAGCTTAGAACAACTTATATCGCATTCATTTAGGGGAAATGCAAACCCAAAAGACTATGTGACAAAAGTTTTTCTCAAGAGCTCAGTAAGATCTGACATAATATACAGGAAAAAGCACATGAAATTATAGTTCTTCAGTTGATTAAACATTTGCCCCAAAGAGAGGAAGAAGTCATTTGACAAATGCAACAATCATTTCTTTTGACTGAGGTTCCTGGGATACAGAGTTTTGGGTTTGCTATTTGTTTGTTTTGCCATTTTCTGTATTATGCACTGCTAGAGTAACCAGACACAATCAGACGGGTACTAGTAATGACCATGTCCATTACTAACACCAGCTCGCTGTGTGTTAAACACTTTGCTTTTTTATTCAGGCTGTGAATGGGAAAAAACAAATGAGAAAACAAATGCATTCCTATGAAACAGAAAAAGGTAAACAATAAAACTAACCTAAGCTGTTCAGGAATACCAGATTGCATGAAAACGTAGGAATATGTTGCTAATAACCACATTGGGTGCCTTGACCTTAAAAATTAGCTTACAATTACTTACACTCTGTTCCCTTGGACAATATCAACATAATCTTCTGATCGAGCATAATAGCCATCTGGGCTCAAAGCACCCCAGAAATTGGACCAAAGCTTCCCATGACGAGTTACGAGCGGAGCAATTATCTTTCTGTGAAGTGACATACACACTGAATAAGAAAATATGACCTGTTATACGTAGACTATATGTCAAAATATACTAGCTTTCCTCAGTTTGGCGTATAGCGTAGTTAAAACACCAATGACTGACAAATCTCAGAACAGCAATTCTGAAAGAAACAGCATCCAAGTACCCACTGCCCAGAAACATCATCAGTGTAATAGAAACAAAGATTCCTATAAATCAGAGGTGGCTTGATTTTTTGAGTCAAGCAAACAAAATACTGCCCATACCATAATGACAAAAAGCATCACAAAGTCAAAGACATGAAAAAAAAAAAAAGCATAGTGAGGCTTAGCTTACCCCAAATTTAGTAAGAGTGAAAAGGAGAAAACTAAGCTGACCAGAATAAAAAGAATAAAATGGTACTTTGTTTCAGATGGTGCCTACTGGTAGATATATTTTGCAAAGCTTCTGTTTCTTCCACCTAGTATACCTGGCTTTTAGCCTCTTTCTACAACAGTAAATATTACAAGGAATATAATGCAAGGACCAACAGCCACATCTTTATTTAAGCTCCATCCCTTTTCACTGGCAGGTCAAAACAGACATTGATAATTTATCTTTCTGTGATACACCTGAAATTTCCAGATTTGTTATAAGGAGGCAAACACCACCTACCTACTTACAATGGAAGTTACAAATTGGCAGGAGTGAACTGCACAGAATTCATGGTGGGCTCAGTCTGCTGAAAGCTGATGCTGATAAACTCACAGCTTTGCATAACTTAAGAGATCATACTAATACAAGGAGAAACTGGTCATTAAAGCTGCTTCACCTCCAATACCTTTACACTATTTTATTGCATCTATGATTTAAAAAGAAAGTAATAATATTGCAATACTAGAGTAATAAACTCTAGTTTTGTTTGGTTTGGGGTTTTTTTGTTGTTGTTTTTATTTTAACATTTTGTCTGTGACCAACTTTGAAATCATTAATCAGTGAAATCTTAATTCATTTCATAAGACCTGCTTACACCATACCATTCTCTTCAGAGGAACTTTAAAGCATTTGAAATTCACACCAGGAATTGTTGCTCGACAGGGACAAAATGCTTTGCAAACTGTTGCCTTCTGAGCCCGTTACGAACTATGGCAAACAAATACCACAGATAACCAAAGAGGATCTAACTCTGCAAGAACAGATGGGATCTTATTTTCCCTGGATGAGCCCCAGAGAGTCCCTTCAAGTTGGAGGAGATTCTGTGAAATCAAGGGGTATACTCTACCTGTTCTCTTCTATCAGTATTCTTAAAGTTTTTGGGTTTGTCAGCACGACATCTGCATCTATGCTGAAGTAATATTCACATGCTTTATCCTGGCGACAAAGGTCCCTAAAAAGATGAAAAAGAATGCTTAACTCACATACATACAGAAAAGATTCACAAAGAAACAAAACAAAATAAAAAAAGCTCAAAAAAAACCACCCAAACCACAACCAAGTGCTCTACTCATCCATTGCACTAAAAGCCCTCTGCAGTGTAATATAGTAAAGGAAAGATGCCTTTAGATTACAGTAGTGTGATAAATTAGAAGAAGATTTAAAAAACATGAATCAGATGCCTTATGTTTTCCTTTTAATAAACTAAGTGATCTCTAACATTTACCAAGTTCAGTAAGAGCTACTATGCACTGTCCTAACGGAAAACAGTGGCTGGGGGTGGAAATCAAGCCACTAATTTATATAGCTAGATATCAGTACAGGAACTTAATAGTGAAGTATGAGCTTATTAAGTAAGCTTCTCTAGTAAGTAACTGCGTGTGGCTGTAACACTGCCTTTGGGCAAAGATGCTACAGATGCGATCTGCTGATCCATATAGTAATTGAAACCTTATGGAGAATGTAATACAAAAAGTGTAAAGAAATGTATTTAAAGACCTTCTCTTAGTCTTCTTGTGGCCTATAAGAATAACACAGTTGGTAAAGAGAAATATAAAACAATTGCAGAGGCGGTGAATGGAAATTAGAGAAAGGAACTGAATGTGTCCCATACACTATTTCTATCAGAATAAATCATTTGCATAGATTCCCACACCTTCAATAGAAAGCTTCAACCAAGCAGAAGACACATCATACTGTAAATGTAAAAGTAAGATACAGGCTACATTTGTATGTTTCTGGCAGGATACACTTGCTAGGCTAAGATCCAGTATAGTGAATTCAGCCTTCCTACACCAAAAGAATAGTAGTTTATAACAAATCAAATATACTTTTAGAGGAATTGCAACAAGCAGCATTCTATCATGCAGGTGCTATTATTTATTTTGCCTATTTCCCCCACTATTATGAACAGAACTTGCATTAATTCCATTGTAACAGCTTGAAACATTAAAATTATTTTACTTTCTTGCTTTAAAGTGTCTATAAACACTGGTTTAGTTCCACGTGATTTGATTGTTTGTGACTTTTCCGTCACTTCAGCAGATGGGACAAACGGTTGATGTGACAGGCTACGTACACGTCAAGGCAACTGCTGGCACGGCTCCCTGCCCGCTCCTCCTCTCTTCCCCTCCGCTACCTACCACAGCACTTCACACAGCACTTACTCTGTCTCCTGTAAGGATTCCTACTTATCAACACCTTTTGGGTCCTTTTGTTTAAACTTTCTTCTGCTCAAAACTCTTTAGAGGTATGACTGTGTTGGAATCACAGTAGAAGGTAGAGCTTTTTCATTCCATAAATGTAAGCAGTCCTTCTTCTTCAAACTTGACTACTTCAAATGTGGTAATGATTTGAGCCAAATTTTTAAAATACCAAAAAGACAGAAATGGTCTTCCCACTACTGCTGAAGTCACCGTGTTTGGACACACACCCAGAGTTTAAATCTTTGGTCAGTCTCTAGTTTTGCTTTAACTGACATCTCTTTCACTGACAGTTTTCTGTCTTACGTATACATGTTTTTATGACAGCAATTCCTTAACCAGCACTTTCTCACATCATTGCCCCAGTTGAAACCAGCAGGTTTTATTTGGGCCATAACACAGCCCAACAATTAAGTTTTTATGACATTTTCCATTACTAGCCTATTCTGTTCAAAGCTTTACAGCTACTAAACACAATTCATATGTAGCTTTAACATTAGCATAATTACAATTATTAATAGTAACCTGACTTTTATATTGCACTTGACATTAGACGTTAAATTTCTTCCAGAAATATTCAGCTCCTTTATCCTAATTCTACTAATAAGGAAACTAAACCTGAGTGACCAGCAGACTGGATGCCAGTCCAGGGTTCCAGCCATGACACTGGTTAGCGCCTCCCCAAAAGCAGCTAAACCTTTTGCTGCTTACAAAAATATGAATGGAATTAATGTTTTTAATTATGAAAATGTGAAAAAACAAATGGAACAGGTTTATATTTAGTTGTAGGCAAACATGACTGAAAAATTACTACATAATTTCAAGATGTATGGACCTTCAACTTTTTTCCCCCTCTTTAAATCCAGAGCCAGGGAATTCTATTAAAATTGGCCCAATATGTTTAGCGTTGAAAATCCTTCTGTTCTTTATTCACATAGTAATCCAAAACACAAAATAATAAATTAAAAGTTTGGGTCTAAGTCATACTCAGTCATTCAATAATCTATTGAGAACTCTTTGAAAGCATTACTGCCTTAAATAGTCTGGAAATTCAGCTGTAGCACAAATGACCTACAACGTGAAACCTCTAACTTCAACCTCTGTAACCAAGAATATTAAATATATGTATTTATATTATATACATATTTATATAGAGACTCATAGAATCATAGAAAAGTTTAGGTCAGAAAAGACCTTTAAGATCATCAAGTCCAGCCGTAAAATTAACACTGCCAAGTCCACCACTAAATTATGTCCCTAAGCACCACGTCTACCCATCTTTTAAATATCTCCAGGGATGGTGACTCAACCACTTCCCTAGGCAGCCTGTTCCAATGCTTGACAAACATTTTGGTGAAGAAATTTTTCTTAATATCCATCCTAAGCCTCCCCCGGCGCAACCTGAGGCTGCTTCCTCTTGTCCTGTCACTTGTTACTTGGGAGAAGAGACCGACCCCCACCTCTCTACAACCTCCTTTCAGGTAGCTGTAGAGAGTGATAAGGTCCCCCCTCAGCATCCTTTCCTCCAGGCTAAACAACCCCAGTTCCCTCAGCTGCTCCTCATAAAACTTGTCTCTAGACCCCTCACCAGCTTCATTGCTCTTCTTTGGACACACAAACACCTTGGCCAGACACATGCACTTGCCACATCAAGGACAGGCTATAAGACTCCAGGCAATTTTTCCGCAGGAAACAGCTGGAATTGCTCTGGTGCAACAGATGCAACTCACCTAAGGTAAGTTAAGCTCCCCCAGACCAAAGCATTCAAGGTACATGGAGAGTGCCAATTGCATGGTCTCTCTCTGCTGCACAACCTATTTGCAATTTTTTCTGCACAGGCCAGAACAGACCAAACCCAGCACTCCTATATCACTGAATTTGTTCATGTAGGTTTGATAAATTCTTGCTTTTATACATGGCATGTCTAAAAGAGTTTACATAAAGCATTAGACAACTTGTGTGTATGTATATACATATATGGCAAATGGCAAAACTTCATGTTTGAAGCATAATTCTCCTTGCATTTCCAGATACAAGTCATCATATCAAATGTGAGGTACAAGTTTTGCTTTTGCACTTTAAGGTAACTAACAAAAATCTCCACAAAACACTCCCAGGTTGAGGTATTCAGAAAAAGAGTTGTAAAAGTTTCTGTCAAAATTAATAAAGCAAGCCTACTCCGAAGAAATTCATGCATCTACTCTCTAGGCTTTCAATGTTGCCAAGTAGCTTTTCCCAAGGAAAGAAAAGTAATCCTGGATATTCTCATGCTTTAAAGTATTACCTTCTTACAGTGTACATTAACCTCTCCAGATGCAGAAATCCCAGATTACATGTGAAACTATTATGTATATCCAAGTCACAGCAAGGAACAAGCAGGAAGCACTGTCTAGCAGTACTCACATATATAGTAATACACTTCCTAATCCAAATTACATGTCTAAAACCTTTCATTTACTTGCTTTACACTCCACATGTTTATAAACTAAGGCCAAATATTGAAATTAAAGCTGTATTTTTGTACAAAACTTAAAGCTATTTCAGTATAATGATTAACAAAAATTTAGTAGAAGGTTAAGATTTTATGTTGGAAGTGTGAAGTGAAGCTCTGCAGATCAGTTTACAGTATTTTGCAATCAGAGAGATGTTTAACTTTGCTTACAAACCGCGAGCCCATCTGGAACAGTGACCTCATCTGAAAAGGGAAAGTGTCACTGCGCTTCTCTTCATCAAACTTTCCACTGAGATATTCCAAGGGGCTAGTTGTTTATAATGGTAAGATATATAGTCTTAATTTCTTTACCGTTGAGTCACTTACATTATTTGTTTTAGACATAGTTTGAATTTGCAATTAATCAATATATCATTCTTATACCCCTCACAGTTTAGAAATACAATTCCAGATGTGGACTGTGAGCCTGAAGGGAGAGCACTTAGACCATCTGGCAGACCTCTGAAAGAAAAGGTGCCCGAGATAAAAGTCTGCAACACTCACTGAGAGACTGGGTGACACTGCCTGCCATTTAGGATTACATTTTGCATCTCTCCAGATAGCCACAACATTATCACCCATCACTAAAAACAAACAAATGCAGCCACAAAAGAGATAAAGCACTAATGTTTAGTTTTGCATCTCGGGCTTAAGTATTGCTACCACACCTGGAGGCTACTGAAATCAGATACGGGTAGGAAAGTTGTTTTTCTTCTGCAACACTCAAAGTTCAAAATGTTCCTGCTCCATCTGAGGCTGAAACCCAAAACTGCTGAGAAGCAGTCCCAGAAAAATCCAAGTCCCCAACAGAAGTCACTTGACATCTGGGAGACGCAGATTTAATCCCTGCTCTTCCTTTAAACACAGATACTTGTCCTACTCACAGGACTGAAAGGGAGTCCTCCTGTGTCCATGTCATCATTTATCAATACCAACAGGAGCTCAGAGACAGACTTAATATCTTCTTACTTTCGAGATGCACATAGGAGACCCCAAACTCAGCTCAAAAGTCACCATTGAGGTCAATGAGCTCTCTAACTGATACTGATCTCTCTACTATTCTTTCTCAAACTTTTGAAAGCTTTCAATGTAAACTTTCATTAAAATGTGCACATTTCCTCTAAAAATTGAAGTAAATCACATTTTTTAAGAAGTTCAGGAAAAATCCTAGTTAGTTCTATTACTAACATTTTTGAGGGAGGAAAAAACCCAACCCCTCAAAAAAGAAACCCATCCATAAGCACTGGGAGCAAAAAAGATTATGGAAAATAAACTTTTATAAAAAAAACCTCAGAGAAGTGAATGAGATACATTCCCATACTTCTCCACTTTCTGTTATTCCTTGAACATATTTCATATTATTTTGCATTTTTCTGTCATAACAAATTCTGTAACAGCTGGCTAAAATCTCCTCTCCAAACAAGGCAAAACCACAAATTATTTTTTTCTTAAAGAAAAAAAGAACCAACTGTAAAAAAAAGGTTCCAAGGGATGTACGTGCAGAGAAAAATGCAACTAAATTTTCCTTCCCTATATTCTACTTTATTTTCCTCCCTTTTTATTCTGTTTCAGCCCACGATAAGGAAAGCTGTGCACTCCAGGTTGATAATATTGTTGAATTGTAACAAGTCTTTGCTGACTGCACAATCTCTGGTCCTTTCCAACACCTATCCAACTTCTACAAATGCAGGAGAGGGCTTTTCCATGTCAAGAAGAACCAAGAAAGTAAATGCTTCAATTATTCATTATTATGGGAATGAGAAAAATAGACAGGTTTGCTGCATGGCTATGGGTGAAATAAAAAAAAAGTTATTTTCTCATATCTGTACTGACATACAAGAGTCTCATTCACCGAGAACTGCACTGTGATTTATCACCACTTTTTCTGAGCCAAAGAGGGGGGAAAAAAAAAAAGAGGTAAGGAGAAAACTGACCCAACCACATTATATGCTCAAAAGTATTCTGCTGCAAACAAACCAGACCTTCAATGCTTAAATTCACTCTTTTTTTTTTGTATTCTATCACTAGGCACTGAACTGTACTGATTGAAGCTGGTTTTGCTGCTTCAGAGAAATAGACTTTTTGTGTGAAATGTGCAAGTGAGGAGACCAAATTAATTCTAGATCTACTGGAAATTAACATTGAGATAATAAAATAGATACTAAATGGAAAAAGAGAGAAGCAAGTGTTTGAGACAGATGGAACAAAACTGTCAGTCAATAATGCAAATAGAGGCAGGAGAAAATTAATCAGAAGACTGAATATATCAATGTCTAAGTCAAGCCAATAAACAAAAAGAGTGATTTTTCAAACCTAAGTTATTCCCATTGCAGTATTAGTGAGAAACAAATGAGGTTATTATGTTGGAAGCCAGCTGAAGGTTTGAAAGCAAATAAATTTTTATAGTATCTGCCTTGGCCATGAACATCCCGTGCTTCCAAACTAGATTTTTTGAGGAAAAGTAAAATGCAGCTGTTCCAGAGAAGCTGATGATTTTCACAAGGGCAGCCAAGCAGACCAGGAGTGCAAAGGAAGCAGCAGATGAACTGAACCTGCTTCAGTCAAATTGAAAGGAACCATCAAATTAAGTCTACATTGTTCACATGAAAGATCCTGCTACTAACACTCGTACTTCTGGATGATTCAGTAATCCACATGCATTATACTTCACATTTTCTCTATATGAGATGTATTTCTTTAGGACAGAACCTTCATTAAAGAGGCCTTTCAAAGCAGGAGCAACATTATATCCAGAAAATGGATAACACATCACAGCATAGTGTATCCAGTGGTACAAATCACAAGTATGATTATCTCCCTGCCTTACATAACAGAATTTGAAATTATTTTGTGCAAATATACATTTAAATTACTATTTTTTAATCCACAGACCAAGCAAAGACCATATATCATATTAAAAACTGTGACATTATAAGTCAGTAGGTTCTATCAAATGGTGAGAGGTTTAAAGATCTTTGGGTGAGATTTAGTAACAGTATAGAAATAGTTTATACCAAAGATTGCGCCTTATGGTGTCTATACAACAAAGAGGAAAAGGCAACTCCAGAAATTCCACATCAGTTACATGTAAGATACATTACTTCAAAAAGTTTGCAAACATAGTACATTATTTCCAATAATCTCTACAGCTACAGAAAGAATGATTTATAAACATGTGAATGGCTGCTTACACTACTGCTGGACTTCTGCAGTGTTCACTAGAAAGGCCAGGGGAGAGGCTTGGACCACAGCCAAGTATCACTTTCCCAGTGGCTTCAGCACAACAAAACCCCATTCAAACGCATTTCCAAGAACACCAGAGACTCAGGACTAGACCTTCATTTTTCAGCTGATGCCATGAACAGCCTATGCTATGTTCTTAACCTCAGAATATAAAAGAAAAGGGCCCTTTGAAATTAATTTCTCTGTTCTGACACTCGTGGAAGATTTGGGAGAAAAAGAGAGTGGAAGGATTACGCAGGAACGAAGCCTGCTCAAGCCCACAATGAGGTCCTGGTGGGATGCCGGTCTGTAAAACTCCATAATCTGACTGCTGGACATACTGGGAGAGCCAGGAGCAACTCTGTGGTAGTAGCCAGTGCTGCAGCCACTGAAGAGATCCCTTGACAGGCAAGTCTGGCATGGGATACATACTCCAAGGTTTAGATTTTGGCCTGGCAAGTGCCATGTTTAAAAGCTAAAGAGTTGGATTACCTTGTAAGAATGAAAGGAAAAAAGAAAAAAAGCAAGATCAAGAATAAAATAGTCAGTTGCCCAGTTGCCTTTGCAAGTCCTTTTTTTTTTTTTCTGCTTTCGGGGCGAAAGCAGAAACTTCTCCTAGAACACTTCTAAACGATATTCCTGACTCTTAAAACCATAGGAAGAAATATAATTCTGTCACCTGTATCCCCAGGTCAAGCTTTAACCATATTTTTTACTTAAATATACTGTCATTTGAAAAATAAAATAAATAAATAAAAAATGGAGGAGGAACTAGGACAATTGTTAAATGCATATCCAATGCAAGAGGTACTTCTATTCTGTGAAATCCCTCTGTGATAAGTTAGCTTGAAAATAGCTGGCTGAATACGAGCCAGCAGTGTGCCCAGGTGGCCAAGAAGGCCAACAGCATCCTGGCCTGTATCGGGAACAGTGTGGCCAGCAGGACTAGGGAAGTGATCATCCTTCTGTACTCAGCACTGGTGAGGCCGCACCTCAAATACAGTGTTCCGGTTTGGCCCTTCACTACAAGAAAGACATTGAGGCGCTGGAGCGTGTCCAGAGAAGGGCAACAAAGCTGGTGAGGGGTCCAGAGCTCCACAGTCCCTGAGGAGCGGCTGAGGGAACTGGGGTTGCTTGGTCTGGAGAAGAGGAGGCTGAGGGGAGACCTTTTCACTCTCTACAGCTACCTGCAAGGAGGTTATAGAGGTGGGAATCAGCCTCTTCTCCCCATTAACAGGCGATAGGACAAGAAGAAATGGCCTCAAGTTGCAGCAGGGGCGGTTTAGGATGGATATTAGGAAAAATTTCTTCACCAAAAGGGTTATCAATCACTGAAACAGGCTGCCCAGGGAAGTGGCTGAGTCACCATCCCTGAAGTGTTTAAAAGATGGGTAGACGTGGTGCTGAGGGACACAGTTTAGTGGTGATTTTGGCAGTATTAGGTTGATGGTTGGACTCGATGACCTTAAAGGTCCCTTCCAGCCTAAATCACTATGATTCTATGAAAAGGTTTCAGATAAAAATAAAACTAATACATTTTTAGAAGATACACTACAATTAGAATTTCTATTTACATTTGCACCTGTTTCTACCTTCTTTTGTTATTACTGCTACATATACTTTTCTGCACAAACTTGGTATTAAAGTTCGTTGTATTGGACCATCAATTTTGTTCCAATAGCATTCTTTTTAAAAAATATTTTAACTTTACAGTTTATGCTCATCATGTTTTAATATACACTCCCATTTGAGATAACTATAATGTAAAAATAATCTGACACCTCTTATTTCTTTGTAGTCTACTATTGTCTATGCCTTCTTTATAAGACAGACTTCAAAGTAGTCCAAACCATAGAGATGTTTTCACAATTACCAACAGCTTTTTATATTAGATAGAAAACATAAAATACTCAACAGTTCATATCTTGTGTCCAGATCTTGTGCTACCACAAAAGCTCCCACTCTTTTATCTTAAGACATAGATTTGTTAGTGTTTAAGATGCAAAATAACATACATAAAAGATGAAAAAAATGTTAGCATATGCATCATTATAACAGATTTATAAATTAGAATTTACATTCCCATGTTCCGTGCTTCTGCTTGACTCAGATTTTCTTCAGGTCCAACAATTTTTATATTTCTGATAACGTTCTTGGCTTTTTCCCAGAATTTCTTGATGTGCTTTTCATGGTAAACCTCCTGTAATCATGTTAACAACGTTTATAGTGAATGAAAAGTACAAGTTGCTGTGAAATCATAAAAATAGTGTCCAAGAACACATTGTATTCTATCCTAAACAAACAGATGGCAAACAGCATTTGAAGATATTCCAGTATATCTGTCATTAAAATGAAGCTCTATGTATGTATTCTTTTTGGCAAAAGAATCCAACACATCAGCAATATAAATCAAAGCTGTACTTCCAAACCCATGATGCAAGATTCACAGACATTTATGCAATATTTTTTCAGGATAATTATTTTACGATCTTCAAAACACATCCTACAACCTCAGTAGCATACGGGAGTTTTTTATGCCACTCCAGAATGGCTTTAGAGAGGGAGCTGCCACCTGTACCCAGGTGGACAGTCAGTCTTTATTTCTTTAAAATGCAGTCACAGTGACTATTTCTATAGTTTCTAATTACCCTACCTCTAATTTAAGAGATCTCAGCTGCATACAATGCTTCCAATCCTGTGCCTTCATTTGTAGCTTTTGCATATTATAGCTGACAACATCTTAATTAAAATATTGGATAGGGTTTTCCTCTATAATAAAAAAACTATTCAGTCTTTTATATTAATTTCGAATACCATATGACTTCTGGCTGAATCAAAGAAACCTAGCATAGCCTGCAATTTCTATGTGCATATCACATTTATACCTTTAACATGCACTTACAAAAGCACGCTGAAGACTTTAGAGATAAGCTTTACTTCTATTACTCAGGCCTTTTGTGCTACAATATCAACAGTAATGCACGCCAAGTGAAAAAGGGCAGAATTATATTTTCCTCCCATTTCTCTTCCAGCCCAGTTTTTTTTCCAAAAAACTTACACACGTCTGTCACCTCACTCATGAAAAGAGTCACTGAAGTCACTGGTGAAATATCAGCAACACCAGATCATTAGGTAATTAGCAAAAAGCATTAAAAAAAAAAACATTCAAAAAAGCAACTTGTCTGTGCTGCCATTCAAAATATACCTGGAAACACCAGTTTTTCCCATAGCACCCAGCAGGAGCATCAAGAGGGGCATAAGTGCACTGGGGTATCGACAAGAGGAAAAGCAAATCCAATGTCAACTACTGGATAATAGTTATTAATAACATGCTATAACTTTTGGTCAGTCCTGAAGTGGTCAGGCAGTTGGCCTAGATGGTCATAGTAGGTTCCTTCCAGCTGGAACTATTTCGTTTTTATTCCACTCTATTGTTTTATGTCAATGGTCAATCAGTACTTCCCCCCCAGAAGCATACACCTTAAAATACAATCTTTCGCGTTACTAAAAGGGAAAGAATCTAAGCAGTTTCTTTAAACAGATTTCAATAAGCACTGCCACAATTTTATTTAATTTGTGTATTTTTTCCATTTCTGCATACTAAATTTTGAAAGATTATCTCATCCTATGCAGCTATGTACATATATAGAAATCGTTTACTCCCTCACACACTTGCATTCATACAATGCACAACAGTAACATCATACTTACATTATTGTGAATGAAGATACTGAGTGCCTCCTTTGGGTAGTCCAGAGTCAACAATCTGTCTAAAAATTTAGGTAGGAAAGGAGTGGGTTGTTCAATGAAAACACCAATTTTTACTCTTGGATATTCCTAAAAAAAATGATATTTTGACACAACCAATAAGACTTGCCTCCTTTCTAAGATTAGTTATATTAACAAGCAACTAATGTCATGTTGTACTGACTTAAGCCACACAGCTTTCAAACAATCAAAACCAACTAGCTCAAAAGTGCTATGCCCCCTGTTTATTTTCACTGATTTCACTAAATAAGCAAACATAATGGGTTTAATATTACTAGAAAACTCTTAATTCAAATAACAGAAACTGGAAATAGAAAATAACGTATTATGTTTTTTAAAATTCTCACTTTAAAAAAAAAATTAAAATGGCAAAAAAGTATTTAAGGGAAATACATATAGAACTGCACGGCATATTCATTTTTTGAAAGTACCACACTTACATACGTTACATTCACAAGAAAACATAGGGAAGACCAGTTTTTTTATACATTACATGTTTGTTAAGACAAAATATTTTATTCATCTGTACTTTAAGCCAAAGACTGCGACACCCTTCTATACACTTGTACACACTATTTCCCCCTAACCATTATAAGTGGGCTCTGCATTAATTCCCTGCTCACTGATTTTATCAAGACCTTCAATGAACTAACTAGAGCTTCTCCCCGCTCTTAGGACACTGTTTTATCCACCTTATTTTAACGTGAATTCACATCTTTTGAACAGCGGTATCAATTCCTGGTTTGCATGTGCTTGATAGAGAGATCATGACCACTAAAACAAAATCTAGACAGCACTTCTGTCTGTTCCTGAAATATATTATTACATTATGTGAGACCGAGAAATTTAACCTTCAAAGGCCTCAACTCCTACACAAAGAAATGCACTGATTAAAGAAAGATTTTTTCCCACCTCTAAACCAGTCAGTATAAACGTCTAACCCACTACAAGGCTCGGAGAGAAACGTCATGTAAGTACAGAAGGCTGCAAGTTAGCTTTCCTTAAGCAAGCCAACACCCACTTGAAAAGCGTCTGGATAAACCATCAGCACATGTTGATATTTCACAGTGTCACTGTCTACATCGGAAATCCAGAAACATACTGGCAAGTGCACCAGATCGGAAACATTAGGTACTAATGTTTACCCTGACTACCTCCTATTCACAACTTCATCTGCAAACCTAATGTATGCTCATGCAGACATCCTAATAACTTCACAACAGCTGACGAGGACAAGTACACCGATGTGTCTTGAAAAAAGCAACTGTGATATTCTCTGGGAACCACTCCATTAAGGCTGCTGTCATGGTAACTGGTACTGCTGATTGTGAGCGAGGAGGAAAGCAGCGTGTGCCATCGGGCTTGCTAAGCAGAACATGCACATGTGCGACCAATACCAGAACGGCTGCAATAACTTATTCTGCTTATTTCTCTAGTTCTAAGGCATTCTCCCCTTACTTTCCAGAAGGTTCAGGCTGGATCTGCAAAGGTTGTAGGGACAATCAGGAATTACTAACCCTCTTTCAATATTCCGAAGTGCGAACCGTTTGGCTCCAACATCTACACTAAAATCTCAGGAGTGTGACCAAAGCAAAACAGTGTTAAAAAAAATTAGGACTAAAAGTTCCTGTAAGCTGCATCTCCTCAAAGCAGAGAGTTCATCAATCTAGACCCTGGTTCACCATACTATAAAACGTAGTCAGTGCATAATCTGAATGTAGGTCAGAATGAAGAGTTTTAACACCCAGCATTTCGAGTATATCAAGTCTGAAGTTTCGGTTCTTCCCAGTTACGCCTCAGCAAACACACTTTGGGAATACCCAGTCTGCATCAGGATGCTACATTTTCTCTGACAAATTTTGTCATTTTCACTAAGGTCATACATTTGCCTTTTAAAGGCTACTTTCTCACAACCACTAGGTGTGCGTATGACAATTTTTGGAAGAAACAGAATGCTTTGTGTAGTCATACTGAGACAAAGTCCAGGAACCCTTGCCACAAGAGGCGCCAGTGAAGCGAGAGGATGAGTGAGGTCGTCCTTTCCAGCCACACCAGGGAGTCTCCATACCTGTACTGAACTTTTGGATTTGAGAAGTAGCCCCAGGATGATTAAGTTTGTTGTCTAATTTAATTTAGGTTTTAGAAAAAGAAACTCTTAAAAGTGGCAAAAATTTCTACTCATTGAGCCAAGGGGCATTCTTGAACTTATTTACCATTACCCTGCTTTGACCTGGGCAGGTAGCTAATTTGGGGGTGACATGGACTGCTGCCATTAGCGGAGAAGAAAGCAGTTGAGTGTTTTCACATCTCAGCTGTGGTTAGAACATGGGAGGTCTTGCTCCTGTGAACAGGACAAAAGAAGGCGCAAAAGACTCTGCGTTTGTGGCTCTCTACTCCTTCACAGGTAACCCCGAAGCTCGGCTTTTCACAGGCCGTGCTCCCAGCACCTGCTCACAATGACTCTGGTAGTACCTTGGGCTTTTCTGCTCATCTATCACAGCACAACCTGCACAGTCCATGGCAATGCCTCCACCCACCTGCATACACCTACCCCTGACCTTCACAAAAGGAAGGATGTCCTTGTGTCCATGATAGAAAAGCGTATTATTTCAGCTCCTTGTTCTACACTGGAGCTTAGCTGCTTTGTTCTGCTAAAGTCAAGGTCTGTAGGTAAGCCCAGCACAAAACACTGAAACCACAACACCTAAGCAAGGACCCATTCATGCCAGAATTCATCTAAAGCAGCTCAAAGCCCTAAACATAGTTGGTATCAAGAAATCTGATTCTCTACTTGCCTATGAGAAGAACAAGCAAAACTTCAGAAGGTATGAGTGCATCAATGCAGACAGTTAAATAAAACAATATGGGAAGAACGATTAGAGGCACAGAATTTGTATTGCTCTTTTCATTGATGATTTCTTGTTAAGTAGCAATTGGTCAGGCCAGAACAGAAAGTGCATTCAGAAAATGAAATATCGCTTTTACTCAGAAATGCCTGAAGTAAACACTTCCAGTGAGGCCAAGGAAAAGTCTCGTTATTTCTGCTGGCAGAGTGAATGAGGTATGAAGTCCAAAGAATGAATTACAGTGAGGAAGACACGTTCCAAGTAGATGTACATAAACTATAGGAAGCTATCCAGTAAACCATTGCAAGTTACTCCCCATTACTAGCTTTAAGATTTAACTCCTCCCCAACTATGTTTTAATTGCCAACACCATTAGGAAAAACTTAGACAACTTCTTTTCCTCAGGTAAACTTTATGTTGAGAGTGCAAACACTGTTTCAGTAGAACACCATGCAAATGTTGTATTTTCAAAGAAAAATTAAAATTAGAAAAAGATATAAAAAGAATCTGAAAGTTATTACAATTCCATCGATAACTTTTTTAATTTATATTCCAATCCACAAGCTGGTTATTGTCCAGAAATTCTTATACTTTGTCCTTTCATTATAAAGATTACAAGCCACTACTTCCTTCATGCTATCCTCAACACCACCCTCTAAGACCTGTTCTCATTCAAATCTTCAATAAAGGACAGAAATTAAATAGCTGCTGGAAACAGCCTGTTAAGAATAAGCAGAATTTTCCTTTAAGTACAAGCCTTACGTTTCCACATGGTAGATCTCAGTATTTGCTCTGCCTAAAGTTTACTGAGTACAAGCTGAAATATTCATAAAGACACTAAAGATGCCATGCCAAAATATGTTCCCAAATATTTCATACACACACATGCATGTGTACGTGTTTGTCTTACAAGAATTCTGAAGACTGAACTGATACCTGATCTCAGTTACATCAGATTTACTCTACAGATACACATTTGCATATACAATGCAGATATCTGTATCACCCTTTACAAAGGGAAGCAGTTTTGAATATTTCTCTATATTGCTCAGAAAATAGAAACTGTAACCATGTTACAGTTAATTGTTAACCTCTATTTGTAACAGAAATTATTAGACTGATGCACATGCAATTTTTTTGTAGGTCTGAAGCTAAAAATCCTAAATATCTAAAGAGGTTTTTTATCTCAAAGAAAGTCTAATTATCCACTTGAATCTTGCATGATTCAAAAATGTTTCATTCACCCTCAGTGAACAGACGTAAGGATCTGGAAGGTTTTGGGGAATGGGATCATCTTCAGTAATATTGAGGAAACCTATATTAAAACATTTCTAAAACTACCGATATTTCCAGTAAATTAAAATTCCATCTTTACAGTTTCATATACCAGAAAAAATTATCCTAATGTTTCTATAGAACATAACATCGCACACTGAAGCTGCTTTGCCTCAGAAATCACTATACACCTATGAGATCTATTCAAAAGGGTTTTGGTCTTGTGAAAAGTATTCTTACCGTTACTGTTGACAGGTCTAGTAAGTCTAAATCACAAATACTGCAACCAGTTTCCCGTGTCCAAGCATTTGGGATATAGTTTCCCAAATAATTCAAGTGAATCTGGTAAATAAATGAACAATTCAGATTAAAGAAACATGCATGCAAATGGTGGTTTGTACCTTTTAAAGACTTCAGGCTTACTCACTGAATCCCTTATGCCCAAAGGCTGTCTCTCTTTTTTTATTATTTAAGATTAAGAAAACAAATGCAAACATACAAAAATAGCTGGTAAAAGCTTTTTCTTCTTCTTCTCATTTACAAACCAGGGTTGATCTTCTCCTAACATCTACATTTATTGCTTCAGTTAAACCAAAAAGTCGTGGCAAGCGTAACAACTACCAAGTAAATGCTTGTACGGGTTCCAAGACACAGACTATACATCACTGAGCTCTCAAAAGCTGCTAGGCATGATTTCAAGCCAAAGATGATTACAGTTTAATTCTTTTGCCAAATCTGAGAATCATCAACACAAAACACAAAGAGTGACCATAAGCAAAACACATAGAAAATGGAGAAGACAGGTGCTCAGACGATGTATTTTTGACAGTCTATGCCAAGATTCAGAAACCAGCCAGTCGGATACGTTTTAAAGCAGCATCTAGCTTCTTCACACATTTTGAATTGGCACTGAACAAAATATGTACTTTTTTTGTCGATGGGCTGCCTGGGCTGCCCTGTCCTCCTGGATTCCATGGGAAGTTTGTGCAGAACTTCACTCTTCTCTACTGCTATTTGCAACGGTTAAGGGATCTCTTATGCCGGGGAAAGTCTGCCTGAGGGAAGGCTTGTATTCATTCCTGCTCTACTGCCCTCATCAAAAACTGGAAGGACAGAATATAATTTTGCATAGAAAACACACGCCAGGCCAATACTCAATCTGCATTTTACCATATTCTGGGTGTTTGTTTATGCATATTGAAAATCATTCTAGCCAGACTATAAAAAGAATTTCTTGAACTTAATTTCAGAGATATACAATAAAGTCTACAAAAGTGAACATTTCACCAAAAAGCCATTACGCTTAAGCAACAAAAAATAAAAACTACATGTTAGGATGTCAGGATAATTTTGTATCCATTTCAAAGAAGTGTCTTCGACTAATGCTATTTACTAATCTCCAAACTGAAGAGATTAAATACAAAACAGAAGGTTCTTATAAACAAAAAACTTTTACTATTTGGAGTTAACTCTGGGAATTACTTTCATGATAGCTTATTTACTAACTAGTGAAAACTTTTTCCAATCCCATTATCTTACTGTCCTCTTCTATGTTTAAAACATAAGAATCTAATCACATTAAGAAAGTGATATACAGGAAGAGTTTCCTCTTTGTTTTTAAAACTACATGACTGCATGTAGAGATTGAGTTTTGTTTAACATAGTGTAAGTTGTAGATTAGCATAAGGAGTTCCGACGTAAACCACCTGCCCAACTGTAAAATACAGTACCTTTCTTCTCATTGGTAAAGTGCCAGCAAAGCCAGTGATGACAGATAACTTGAGGACTTAACTGAAGCAAAAATAACTGCAGCAACATGGAAGAAATTGGTCACATATACCACTACTGAGTAGTTATAAGAAGTTATATAGAGAATGGCATCATTATATTCACTAATTCCAAAGATGAAATACAGAGCAAAAACTAAGAAGGGGCAGTCATTTGGATGAGTTTCAAGTTTTATTTCATTCTCCTGGGAAGCATTTTTCTGAAAATAAGGAGCTACAGCAAGGAGCCAACAGAGGCTATTAGAAATGATATACCTTTACGCTTCTTTGGCATGTAACAGAAAAATGCAACTGCTGTATGACCAAAACATAGCCCTTTCTCCCAGAGAAAAAGTGCCAGGTCCTCTGGACCATTGAATCCTTACACATGGACAAAAGCTGCCAAAACAGCTGTTTCACAGGTCAGACAGTGCTCTACAATGAACCAAAAGCTCATGAGCTATGTGTATATTGCAGGCATGGATCAATGACACTGAAGATGCAACAACAGCCAGCTGTGTGTGTGTATACACATACATATTTTCACCTATATACAACATATTCTTTTATATATGGGTATACAACCACATGCCAAGATCTGTGGTAGGATCAGATGTGTTACTGTTTTGTATCGTAGCCTGTGACTCTTGGTTAGATTTCTCTCCCTGTGAAAACCTACTCTTCTGACTACCGTTTAATAAACAGGTAGACATTATTCACTAGCTTCAAGAATTGTTGTGTGATAGTGAACAGATTAACATAAGCTTACTCACTTCTAATACCCCATGCGAGAATGAACAGAATGAATTGTTTCAGCAGCGATGCCAAGTTAGTGATAGTAGAATAACACGACGGAGAGAGCTATTAGGATAGGTTTATCTTTGCAACTCTTATCAACATTAATTGGAAATGAACAGAGGTGGTGTGCTATGACTGTTTCAGACTCTTCCACCACTGTTTTTGCCTCTATTAAAATTGCGATCTTTGAGGAAAAATAAAAAAAAAAAAACCAAACATCACTCACTTTAGTTGGACCATTTCCATGAATGGTGATCGGTAATGTGTCATACACTGAATTCCTTGCTCTTACTTTTCTTTCTTCAAATTTCAGAAGGACTTCATCTGAAAAATCAACAACGATCTTGCAGTAATAACAGTTTACAAAAAAAAAAAAAGGCTAAAATTTCAGAGTTCTTTAAGTTCTTGCTGATGCAATATACCCTACTGTTGCTATCACTATCAATGTTACTTATTTGGAAACTTCTGTTCATTTTTTAAACTAGAACCTGAATTCTAAGCTCTTTATGCTAAGTGAGGTTACATCAAACTTCAGAGTTTGCCATCAGCAGCCTTCAGTATTTGAATAAAGTCTTCTTTAAAAATAAAACTAATTTTGTGGCAATTCTATTTATAGAGAAATCATACTGATTTCAGATATAATCCGACTATAAAAAGTTGTTCCATAATCTGAGTTTAAAGGTGAGAAAGGAAGTTTAGACAGGTGCCATATTTCAATTTAGATTCATGACAATTAAATAAAGGTAATTCTACATTATTCCATATTTCATTCCATTACGTATAGACATTTGCTTCAGAACATCTAAAATGCAATTTTAATTACCAGTCGTACTTCTGTAACTAAGTTTGTGAAAGGCAGATGGAAAAATGGTTCTTAACTTTCTATTTATTGCTAACTTAATTTATTGAAATTTTTTTTTCCTATTTTAAATCAAATATTTTATCAATGGGAGAAATCAATTAATATTAAACCCAAAAGACCTGTAACTAATCTGGTAATCAGGTCTACTTACCCAAATATGTCTTTGAAACAAGCATACGTTAAGGGATTGATATTCATGGTTAAGCAAAGAAAGTGTTAATAACACTTAATAAAACACACAATGTGCAAATCATACACTTACCAACAGCTCCATTCAGGGTCTGGAAAATTGTACATTTGTGGTCCAAAGTAATGTTAATGCGTTCCTGAAATAAAAGTAGCAAAGATGTTGAGGCATTCTAAAAGCCAAAGTCTTTATAGTAATGTTACAGTTACATTGCAGTAGCAGCAAGTAATCAGGCAAAACTACGTATTCAGCTCTTAGATATAATTCTCAATTTTATACTGTTAAGTTTGCTATACAGCTGCACAATGCAGGAATATAGAAATCAGGCTTATATATGCAAAAACTTTATCTAAACTTGAAGGATAAAGGTCATAACTCTCCAAAGAGCCTTCAGTTTGGCAGTATAAGCCAAAGAAAACTTGGGTCTTGTCTTAAAAAAAAAAATGAACAAGTTTTGGCCAAGCAACAAAACATACTGTGTTTCACAGTCTCAAAAATACAAAAGCCAAATCTAAGTATCACATCAGAATAGAAAACCCTACTGGTTTTAAAACATGTTCCTAATATTGTATTATTAATCCTATTTAGATACCTAAAGTACCTTGTTTTGAAGTTTTAACATGCTGATCAAAGTATATAACCTTCAGAACACTCTTTAAAACCCTTATACAGATAACCTAGTCTGTTTTGGTCTTCCAAGATTTTGTTACATACTTAACAGCACTGGAGATTACCATACAGAAAATTAGTGTATAGTACAGTATCCCAAGCCAAGCGCCATGGAGGCATTTTGAATCACAGTGCAGTACTGCGCTGTGCAGAGGTACGCATTTTTTGTCTAGAAGACAATCTGTTTAGACAGCTTCTGACTTTTTTTTTTTTTTACTTCTGACTTTGGTGCACAGTCAGCTTTAATGTCTCTACACCCTGTCCTTTCAATTGCGTATCTAGCATCTGACCTAACTTGCACAAAACCAATTCTAACATTAAGGGCTGGAAGAAATGTCCGATGAGGAGCAGCTGAGGACTTTAAGCTTGTCTAGTTTGGAGCAAAGGAGGCTGAGGAGCGACCTCATTGCTCTCCACAGCTTCCTGAGGAGGGGATGTGGAGGGAGAGGTGCTGATCTCTTCTCCCTGGGATCCAGTGACAGGATGCATGGGAACGGTTCAAAGCTGTGCCCGGGATGGTTTAGACTGGACATTAGGAAACACTTTTTTACCCAGAGAATGGTGAAACACTGGAACAGGCTTCCTAGGGAGGCTGTCAATGCCTCAAGCCTGTCAAGCATTTAAGAAGCATTTGGACAATGCCCTTAATAACATACTTTAACTTTTGGTCAGCCCCGTCCTGATCGGGCAGTTGGACTAGATGATCCTCGTAGGTCCCTTCCAACTGAAATACTGTATTCTATTCCAGTACCTGTATCTAAACATGCCTGATGTCTCAGGCATAACAATGGACAAACATGTATGTATTTCAGAAACTTCACATCTTCCTTAAACATACAAATGCTCAAAATCAGCCTCAAAATTGTGCAATATCAGCTTTTAAAAGTCTTTTTGCATTAGTACATTGTTAATTTTTCTTAGCCCTCTTTTTCCAGCATTAGGGCCATGACCCTGACATCTATCTTGCTTTAATGCTGCTACTCAGCAGAGAACTTTGTTAAGCCAGGTCACAGAGAGGTCTTCACCAAAAATTTACGATGCAGCTTTATTGAACGTATCTGCGCAAAAAGCTGAAGAGTGAGAGGCAGCTGCAGGCAGGATCTGAAATGGCAGCAAGCCAAAATATAAAACACTGGATCAGCAAGAAATGTAGTGACACCCTGGAAAAATGCCACATTCTCTGGCTGTCAAACTGCCAAATACATGGGACCCTCATTGAGATGAATGTGTCCAATCATATACCTCAGAGCTATTATTTTTAACAACGAAGCACAACCTGCCTGGATCTGCAGACAGCCTGAAATAATATATCAACTCATGACCCTTTGGAAGCCTGTTCATCACTCTGACAGTAGGAACCTCCAGAGAACAAACACAACATCAACATGGCACTCCGGAATAAAGAGACAGCATTCCTTTTATTTTTATCTCCTGATTTTTTATGAGGAGCAGCATGTTATTTCAAGCAAAAAGAAATGAGAAAGCCAGTCACTACCTACCCTTGCCAATGGGTCAACATAGATTTTGGTGTAAAACAGCTGGTCATCATCATTATCCTGCAGATTCCATTGCTGCACAATCCGATTTATATATGGAGCATAACCAATAAATCCTGCAATATCACACACACATAAGTTATTTCCATAAAAAGCACTACTCTGCCAATGCTGTCCACTAGTCAGGGACTTCACTCTGACTGTTTGGTGCCAGCAAAGGAAAAGTATGAAATTCATACAACTTGGCTCAAAAATCCAGTTTTCTTCCTCTGATATGTACCAATTCTGGTTTTTTAAAGAGTTCATAATTAAGGGTTATATTTATATTAATGCTACTTTAAGGGAAAAAATAGGAAACAGATCTGTTTAGGACAGTCCTGAGAACTTCAAAGCATGAGATTACACTATTACTGTTCCCAGGAAGCCCATCTGTGGAAAAAGTTTCGTTTTCATCAATCACTTATTGCTGGCAGAGAAGCCTGAATCTAATACTCCCAGAATTACAAAGAGAATTCAACTCAAGACCAATGTATGTTACGTTTAAGCCAAAACAAAAAAAGATAGGCGAGGTAAAGAAGAGAAGGAAGAGAGTGGGGACACTCCCAGATCCACACGCTGCCCAGCACCATGTACCTAGGAGAAGTGACATACTGTGCTCTGTAGCAGTTAAAAAATATCAGTGTCAGAGCATGTATTATTACCAAAGCTGGTGTTTAAAGGAGGACTCCAGAATTAACACATCATTGAGATTAACACGAGTAACTCGCACTTTTCTTGGAATGAACTGCCTAAGCCATGCTGACAGGCCAGGCAGACCTACCAGCACATCTGTATGCAAAAATCCCCAAGAACAAGGTAGCCAAGTCAAGAAATTCTGTGACCCAGCTAAACTGTGCCTATAAATAGCATTTACTGCTTTGACTTGGCTTCTACACTAGATTGTTTCTGAAGTACGTTCAATTGGTGGCAAGTGGGTCATCCCTGCATAGCATTTCGTTGCAAGGCACAGTTGCTTGATAGGCTATTAATCTTTTTACCTGCTATTTACAAGTTATTGCTAACAAATACTACGTAAGTTTGAATGAAAACTACTCTTGAGCACAGAAGAGGAGCTTTTCAAGTGGGGAGGGAGAGGGAATGAGGGTGACAGCAAATCCAGTCCTCGATTTTATACTTTGGAAATTCAGGAACAGCTCTACATACAAATACATAAAACAGATAACAGAAGTGAGTCATGTTCAAGTTCGAGAGTTTAGTGCGTTCAAGAATCACACTTGCCTCCTGAGTTCAGGAATCGTTTTCCACTCCGGACAACAGGATACTTGTCAGCTAGCCTTTTATCTGGCCAAATTAGTCCATCTGCTGCAAACACCACTTTATGATTAGTTTCCTGAAATTTCTTTAGCAGTTCTTCAGGGCCCCCTGCAAAGATAACATCATAGCTGAAAATAAAGAAAAGATATCCATTAGATTAGTTTAATTTTAAGCTTCTGTGTTCAAAACAACAAGTGTTTGGACTATTCAAATTTCAAAAAAAAAAATCATACAGAAAGACCTTTTATTCTGAAAAATGACTCATTAAATGATGTTTATCATCATGTAAAAATCCTATACTCTTCTAGGAGAAAAACTTCAACCAGTACTATTTATCCAATACAGTTTCCCCTTCTATTTGCATTTTTTTTTTTTAAAACCTTCCACATTTTGGACATTCTTTTTCCTTCAGATTATGTCTACCTGAAATTGATTTTCACATTTCATGTATTTTGAGTGAAAAAAAATATTTTTTCCCCTTTAGAAAACTGTTTATGTGTTTAAGAACAACAACAACAAAAAAAATCAAAATATAGCAGATGAAATAGAGTAGGACTGAAAGATGATTTTGGTGACTCACTGGGAAACTCAAGATGACATTGTTCTAAAACATGATGGTACCAACTTTCTTCTGAAGTCTTCTTGAGAATGAACTTAGATATTTCTCAGTAAAGTTCAGTTGCCCCTAAACTTAAACTGTGTTGCATCTTGAAAATATATAGATTTCTCCTTCAACCTCTTTAATGTGCTGAAAACTTCAGAAGGCTCTAAACTTCACAAGCTCTATTTATGAAAAACTTCACCTGCCTTTATGTGTTCATCAGATTTGACTCCCAGCTCCTACTGAGGACAAAGACCTAAAGGTGAAGGGCTCATCTCTAAAAACAGCAGCTACCCACAGCCAAAGGTCAGCACTATCCCGAAACCGAAAGAAACACGCAAGGGTTTGGCAAAGTTCATGGAAGAATGTAGTATCACAAGCCTAGTGGTTTCTTGTTGAACCATATCTAAATCAATGCCTCTAAGAAAAAAAAAAGAAAAAAAAAAAACCACACACACAACGATCCATTAAATATGTATAAATTATTAAATTATTCAGAGTATAAGGTTCCTTTGTTTCTATTTGAAATCTACATGTAAAAGCATTAATGTGCAAACCACTTCAAGGTTCATATTACATTGCATGAAACTGTGACAGACTCTTATCGGAATCATGTCATAGATTAGGCTCTGGCTGAAGCAGAATATTTGGATTTAATGGCAGCATCTCAGCCTCACAGCTTCCTCATCCGAATGCAGGTATATTCTTATTCCACGCATTGACCTTAGCAACTGAAAATCATCAGCCCTGATATAGGGCAAAGGAATGGTACAGCTACCAAAAATCAGAAGGTCTAACCTCGACCAAGATTTTCTTCTTGCAAAGTCTTTTAGCTGGGCTAAGGAGGACAGCAGTACCCTCACCTGCACTACACAGAACTTTTTGGATTGCAGTGTATCACTCAGTAATAGTGCCAACAGATGAACCATTACTGACTTCTGGTACTTCTTTATTACAGTTCTGAAATTATTTTAAATGTCCTTTCTTCAAAGGGGATTTCATGCAATTGGCCTAAGAGGACTGAACAACAGCTGGCTTACAAATGCAAAAGAGAAGATTTCCACTGCAGAGAAAAGTATGAACCCTGGAGAGGAAGTGTTCTGTAGTCTATATAAAGTAAGTGGGTTTCCGAAAACTCTCACTGTTTTGTTTTTCTGTAATTTTGGCAGAAGAATGTAAAAAAAAAAATATTGTACATTTTGGAGCTTCCCCGGTTTTGCAAAAACTGCCTCTTTCTGCCCAAACATACAGGAATACACTTCCCTCCCTTTTCCATTCAATTGGTGTAGCTCAATTCAAAGCCAGAACGAGCCTGAAGAACAAGCGAGAAACAGGAGACAAGTTGAAGACAGACAAAAACAGAGATTTGTCTGAGGCTTTAACTTAATAGCTTATGGCAGGCTGTGCCTCTCCTCTTTGATCAGGTTAGCGCTGCTGCTGCAATGACTTACAGCTGCGGGAAGGAACCAAACACCCCTGGAACATTGCTTCCAAGGATTGTCATTCTGGAAAAGAAAGCCAAAGTTGAGCAACATGCTGGGCTAGCCACAGCCTCTGCTTGTGAAAGGAATATGCTACTTAATACAGCACAGTTTATAATACAAAGCACAGTACGGAGCTGCTAAACTGCATTATCAATTATTGTAAACTTCATACACTAATGCATATTATGCAGGAGTATGAATCCAGCACGGAACTACATTTTCCACTAATTTTCATGGCCCTCTGGCACCTCCTCCCGGGCAGGACCTCCACCAGCCTTCTGTCCTTTGCTGCCAGTCTCCCCATCAGCTGCTTTATGAGGTTCCTGCTTTTCTCTCCAGGCAACAGGAAAACTTCTAGAGTCAAACTAAAAGCTATAAATCCATCATTTGCCTTCCTTACCCGCTACGTCAGATTATGTTCAATCTATCTGGCACTCAACTCCTACTGTCAGGAAGGATTCACCTCGGGTCTACACCACTAAGACCATCACAAAATGGGTCCTTGACAGTTTATATTCTTATAATGGGTGATGCACATGACTGAATTTAAACAGGGCTTCAAAATTTGATGGGGAAGAAAAAGCGTGGATATATCTAGGAAAAAGCAGGCTACCTTGGCAAGCTAGAAAAGCTCAGATACTCTTTTATTTATTCTTCATAAATCCTTCCGATTAAGTAGAAAGCAAGAAAAAAAAAAAGAAAAAAAAAACAACCAGAAAGTTTCCACAACTCCAATCCCATTTCCTGAAGCTCCCAGATGGCAGATGCTTGGGGCTGGAATCCACCCATCCCTCCTCCCCTTTTGCAAAGCATCCTGGCTACGCACCCAGTGCCCCCAGCAACACAGGGAAATGGCGACAGTGGCTCAGGTCCTTGGAATTGAGCATGCAATTTTTGCATCCACAACTTTTACAACAAAAAGGACTTGTTGCCATTGGAGCTGCAGGTTAAGAGCTCAAAATACAAACAGGAGAGGCGTGCTAGTAATCAGCAATTCAGGTCCCGTATTTCATCTTCTTTAACTGGACTGTTCAGCCCCACAGGCATTTTGTCATTTACACGGTATCCCCACCAGGATCACACCTTAACCATTTTGAGATGTGTAGAAAATGTAATTATCCCTCACTTTCTGACAAATGTTTACAAAGAAAACAAAATAAACAAAATAAAAAACCCCAAACCAACAAGTCCCCCAAACAAACAGGAAAAAAAAAAAAACAAACCAAACTGAGAGGCTTCAAAAGTCTTCCATGATACAAATAGATGGCTGTGGGAGTTCTGGACGAACAGTCACAGCATCAACCATTTTATCCAGTCTACACTGGCCATTATCCAGTTCAATCTGAGATGGTCCAAAGTAAACCAGTAGTTAGTCCTCACAAAAACAAGCCTAGTTTAAATAGTATTCCATCTGCAGGCAAAGCATTTTGCTATCTGCACCTAGACACAAGCTGTCCACAGAAGTTCAGCCTATTTCCAGAATTGTGAGCCATATAAAAAACTGCTCAAAAAAAAAAAAAAAAGGCAAGCAGCTAAGTTTTTTTTAAGTAAACAGTTCACTAGAAATGGTTTGCCTAGTTACAGTAAGTAAACCAGACACTTCCTACTCCCCCCCCCGATTAATACTCCAAATGCTTCACAATGAATATAATGAAAAACACTTGAAAAAGAAAGGAAGTTCACTATATTTGTCTTTTTCAAAGTTAATGCTACATCGATCAACATTTAAATTGCAAACTAGGATTCCTGGAAATGAAAAAGCTCATTAGAATTAAAACATCATGCTAGAATCAGCAAACTATTTTTTTTCCTCCTATTTTGAATCAGTTCCACCAGCTTTAAATCAATATGTACTTGGGATTATGAACCTCAAGAACTTGGGAAGCCTTAAATCCTGTGATTTTTCATGGCAAGAAAGATTATGACATCTGTACTTCAACACACGTGGTCCTCTGTACTCTCTTATCCATGTCAGCACACAGCCTGCCCCTCTAGAGAATAAATGATGTTGGAGAAGAATTTGAGCTGTACCCAAATCTGATAACAAATTTGCATATTTTACCATATAGGGAGAAAATAGTGACAAATCAGGATAATAGATTTGGAAAAAAAAAAGGAAATTCAATGTAAGTAGTAAACATTTGGGAAACATACGATTCATCTAAGCGTTTAGTAAAGAACAAAATCTCTCAAATTAATCTTAAAAAGTTTCAGTTATTGCATTATCAGTAGGACAACGCCATCAACAAACATGTAATATATTTACTTACAGACACTTTATTCACTTACCAAATGCAAAACTGATCAAGTCAATAAGAAAAAAATTCAAAAACTGAACATGTACCTGCAAATTCTACATTACCTTTACTGTCAATTAAGCATACAAAGAAAATATTTGGTGTAACAAGTTTCCCTTATCAAGCTTGTTCATAATTTGGTTAAGATGATTTAGCCATTGGCTTTCTAGCTCTATCTTCAACTTATCACGAGAGGTAAAATTAAAAAAGAAAACTGAGTAGCATCTTTAAATTTGCTACCAGTTTAATAGGCTACTCCAACTTTACTGAACATTTAACTTATGCAAAACAACAAATGAACTTTCCAGTAAATACCACTGCCAGACCAGTTTCTCTCTCGTGCTGATGTCTGCTGTACAATTCCTGCTAGACTTCTAACTTGCAAAGGCGTCCCCCAAATTCTTCAGCTGTCCAATTTTAAACATTAAGTAAATTTTAAAAAGCAGGATAAAAGCTGAAAGCAAATTCTGGAGCACAGATTCCAACATGAACTGGTAACAGCAGCATGAACCCATGCACAAACCTCTCCAAGCTCGCGCTCGGTACCCCCCCCAGGCTGCCTGTCTGCAATCAAGGCTCCATGTCCCCAGTTCGAGACTTGGTCCTGTGCCTTCCTTGCAGGGATTCTTTTAGAGCTGTGACCCTACTCTTGTTAACACTAGTATGGAAGAGGTTGGCAGCTGCTGTCAGCTGGATTCTTAGCAGCTCTGATCATGTTCTTGTCACAGGAGCAAAAGAGGAGGAGGGGGGAAAAAGAGCAGAAGGAAGCAATGGAAAAAGTAGGATGTGAATACGTTTGAGCTCCCTGTTCTCTGTGACAGGGAGAAACCTATCTTGCCTCCAGTGAGGACATTCAAGCATAGTTGTGCTATGAGCTATAGTCTGGCATCTGCAGCACCGCTGTCTCTCCATCCTTCCATCTCACGTATGGCATAGGCACCAAGGGTACATCTGGCACCGAGCCTCTTGTTTCGGTTCTCTAACATGTAAAAGAAGTTCTCCTGTTAAATGCTTTCCTCAGGCCCATTTTCCAGCCTCCTCTGTATCACTGTTACTTCATGGAACAAGATCATGCTCTGGTCCCTACTGGCCACTTTATTTCTGGAGCTGCTTTTGTTCTCCCCCCCATTCCACACTCCCAGCCCACAGCCACGTCCTGCCCTCACCGCAGCTGAACAGGGAGAGGACAAATGCTTGCCTAAAAGCCTGACAGCTCCCAATAACATTTTTTTACCCCCTTGAGGCAGCAGAACTATGAACAACTCTTACATCTGTAAATCTGTTAAAAAAGTAACGATTGCTCCCACAGCAATCTACTATTTTTATGAATGGAGAAAAATGGAAGCAAGCCCTCTCAAATAAACAGCGAGGGGGAAAAGCAGCACACAACTTTCAGCATGTCACAGCAGCTACTTTTGCGTGCCTACCCAGACTAAAATTTAACGGCAACAAGCCAGGTTTGCTCACCATTCAACAAACATTATAACCAAGTCCTCTTGATCAGCATAGCTTTCTATGCCTTCCTTCAGCAGGCGAACTTTCTGCCCTCCGCCAATAGAGTTAGGCAGCTCACCACCTTTCCATTCTTCACCTTTTCCAAATACCTGGAACAAGAAAAAAAGAACACTTTTTACTAGTACCCAAAACCAAGAGGCTTTTTAAAGCAGATCCTTATTGAAAACAGATGTTAAAGCAGAAGCAACACATTAAAGCATAGCAAGCCAGCATTTCCAGCATCATAAGTTTTCCATGTCTGAAGCAGCATTCAGCACAATGACATCACTGCAGAAACACGAGAGAGACATTTCTTAACCAAATAAGAATCGAGCAACTGCCTGTTACCAACATTTATTCAAATGTGTCTCCTTCAGAAAAAAAGAAAAAGGCGGCAGCTACTAATTGTTTCAAAACTTGTATTAGGAAAAACATTCTGAAGGAGACTTTTAAAAGTCAATATAATCACTTTAGGAATAGGAAGTGTGAGAGACCTTGGTGGATCAGGATACTACTAATACAAATTGCAAGCTGCAGTTTTTCTGAAATCCCTCCAGAACACTTTTGTACAAGGAAAGGATAGGTGGCTGCTAAAATCAGCTAAACAAAATTCCTCCCTAGCCAAGTGCTATAGCAAATCATACCTCAAAAAACAGAAGACACCCTTACACTTTTTGTGGGTTTTGAGCATAAGGTTTTTGGAACTTCTAAAACTTGGAAGAGCTACATTGCACGATGTCTTGGACAAATCTGCAAAGCTAATAGATATATCCAGAGCTCAGGCTTCTTGGGTGCTTTAGTACAGCACTATCATATTAGGAAAGGTTCTCTCGGTCTTCCAAGTTCAGTGGCAGAAGTCAAACTTCAGAATCCAAATAATTTCCTATTTATAGTGTAGGCACTGTGGTAAGCAAGCAGAGAAATTTCATAACACCATCTGAATTCCTGGATTTTCTCTTGCAGAACCAATTTGTGGGGAAAGTTTAGAAGAAGGTTAATGGTCTCCCTTTTTCCCAAGGTCATGTGAAGGCCAACCTCAGTACATGGCATACAGAGAAGTGGAACAAGGCAGAAAAGGCTGGTAGAAACGTTTTGTCCTCCCAAAGAATTACAGGTTCTTGGAAAACACAGTGAAACTTTCAGTTGTGACCCACCCTCCTTCCCTGCAGCAGGGATCCAGCCTTGTCTAAGAAGGAAGGAGACATCCAAAGCCCTCAGAGTGCAGCACAGCTTCCAGAAGTATTCATGCAAACAACATTAGCCGCACTGAAAAGTGAGGCTATATGATAAATCATGACAGAATCTGTAAGTGACCGAGAACCCTGATCACAATAGCTACTAATCTGCAGAGCAGTTCCTAAGGCAGTGGAAGAACCATCGGTTAAGTAACAGGGACAGCAGTGGGGCCATGTGCAAGTGCCCTACCCGCCCCCCAGCTCTGTAATTGTTTTACTTTGCCCCAGCATGCAAAGAAGCTAATGCAACTTCAGTTACTTTTGCATTGTTTCTGTCCTAAAGGCTGCATAGTATGAATATTTGGTATGAAAACACACAATACCTTGACTGTGTAGTTGAAGTGCTTTGCAGTTCGCATGAAACGGTGAAAGCCATCGGTTTCTTTAGTTGCTACAGTAAAAACTAGTAGTTTATCTGAGGGAGAAAAAGGAGGAACGTGTATTAATAACAAAAAAATGCACTGAACAGCACTGGATCAGGGGGTTTATGACTTGCCCGCATCTCATTCAAAGAGGAGGCAAATACACTGTCATATTATAGGCATGAGACATTATCAAACAAGAACTGCTATGGAGAAGGGTGCTGTATTTAAAATTACCCTCAGGAAGAGGAAGGAAAGAAATCTATCTACTCTATAAACAACTAGCTCAAGACATGAAAACAAAGCTAGCATGAGTACTAGACAGGAAGGAATCTTCAAAACAAAAATAACTTGTTTACTTTTCAGTCAGAGCTAATCCTACAACCTCTTATCACAGGACTGGATGGTACCAGAGAACTTCACTCAACTTCAGTAACTCCCCTGAAAGCAAGCAGTTCATATTCCTCGTGAAAACAGGGCGAAAAAAAAAAACCAAACATGGAAAACGGTCCCCCGACAGTGCTTTTAAGTCCTTGGGCAGAGACAAAAGAGTAAGGTTGGGTTTTTTTTATTCAGAGCCTCTGTAAATTATAGCAGTGCTAATTTTGCCCTCTTACTGCATGCAGGCAAATGACCGTGCAACCAATTTCCTTTTCATATCCCAGGGTTTTCGACATAGTTCAAACAAGGCCATGAATTCCCACTAAACAGCTTCCCAATTAAACTACTGAACAACATTCAGCACCCTATGCAATGTGCTGTATAATCAAGGTACATAATTCAAAGCTATGAGAAAGACAGTACCCTTATCCAACCTCAAATATTTAATCAGACCAGCCTGGATCTCAGAGCACATTGCAGTTTCCCAATTTGGTCTGAGTTCAAGCAACAGCTGCCCTCTGAACAGAGCCCATGAGATCAATCATTACAAGAAAGTAAAATTAATAGACTCTAATGAGCATTCCAGACACAGTGCCTGTTGTTGCTTCACTTTCCCAAAAGACATCCTCTGGGTTTATCTTTACCAGCACAGTAACATGCGCTAGAAGTGGCTGCTGTGAAAATTATTCCTATTAACCCTTCAGCCTTGTCCACCACCACAGACTTAGCAGCCCTCAGACACCCAAGATGTCATCCTGAGTGTATTCAAATAAATCACTGCTTGCCATTTTGTTTTATTTGACACCAGCGAAATTAACACACAGGGTCATGATCCGCTTCCCACTTTATAGAAGAAATGCACCTTGCAAGTTACTCGTGTGATGCTCTGCAGCCAAGTGCCAGGATACTTCAAGTGTACCTCTGCTCAGTCAAGCAAAAATACCTGTAGGAGCACAGACAGAGTTTGCAGAGCAACATAAAAACCACATGTTCTAATGAAATTCAAATCTGTCTAAAATAGCCACAGCAGGCAAACTACAGAGACTAGTCTCAGGAGCCAGATATTTTTTTCCACTGACATAGGGCTTAGATTCAGCAGTAGTCAACTGGTCGCTTCCAAGAACACTCCTACCAAGTCAGACAGTGGTCTGGCAAGTCCATCCTCAATGGCAGCTATGACTGTGTACATGACAGAGCAAGGATAACATAAGCATATATGATGCTTCCTCTGCTTTTTGTACCAGTCTGTTTATGGGTTTTCCTGACCTGGGTAGGGTTTCCACATATTCCGAAACACTCCGTCCACTTCGTGATGTTGCTCTCACCCAGTCACTCCTTGAACTGATGTAACCCTCAAGCAGTGACAGCACCGTATGCGCATTACCTACTCCACAAAAAAGATTCCTCTGTGCCTTGAGCAGGGCTCCTCCAGTTTTTATCTCACACAGGCCAAGTTCTTCAAGTACAGACAACGTTTCTACCCAGCTCCCTCACCACACACAATTGCAGATTTCTCTCACATTCTTGCCACAGCGGTTTTGGGGGGGTTTGGTATTTTGTTTTGGCTCCTTTTGGCCAACAGTCCTAGTGACTATTTTAACTACTGGCTCTTACTGAACCAGACTGACACTCCTGCAATACAATACACAGCAAAGAAGAAACTGGAAATAATTGCAATGCTTCAATCAACTCAACTGGAACACCCAAAATTTTTGGGAAGACAGTTTTAGAAAATCAGTTGCTCCATCTTTTTCCTTACTTAAGTGCTAGCAGTCTTCAGAAGAATCAGAAGAAAACCCCACGAGTACGTTTCAGAAGGGCAGGAGGATCTCCACAGAGGATTCCAGTGCAACGCGTTCACAGACGCACTGACTCACAGATAGACATAAACACAGCAATAATGGTTCAGCACCTTCAAAATCATTTATTCTAAAGGTCATGCAATCTAAAGTAATTCTACAGAAGTTGCCACAGAATGAATAAAGGACATGATATCTTAGACTATGACTAAAACAGAACCAAAGACAGAGGATCTGATTTTTCTCTATGGAATACATTAAGTTATGATTAATTTTTTGTTCAAGCACTGCATTTTCAAATCAGAGGGAACTGGAAAAATGTGATCATACCAGGCTGCACCATCAAGCCAAGTGAATTCATTATTGAAAGTCTCCTAGGTGACCAGTCACGCGCTGACTATAACCATGGAATTTGGTTTGGGGTAGATATATTTCACACCTACCCCTTCCTGAGAAATGCTAACAGCAAGGATTGCAAAAATCTGTACTTGACAACATGATGTAAATGACAAAATGTGGAATGCATCAGATTCCTCCCATAGTCACTAAGTTAAAGAAAGTATTAAATCAACGTACAAGTACAGTTTGGCAAGCAAAAAATAATCTACTATTCTTTATGGGATAATGTGACTCTTTTAATGGAACCCACAGTAATTCCACCTACGCATTGCTCATCTATGTCAAGATTCACTATGGAGCCTGGTATGTTACTTGACTTTTGTAGAATAGGAAGAAAGAATGATGTGCCAAATCATAAGGGATTTCGACCTGAGCTATATAAAACGGAGAAAGCTGAGCAGACAAATAATGCAGTTTATATTGACATGAAACTGCAAGTGAACCTGTATTACACTCACAGCCAATGAAGCAATCCGAGTAGGCTGAGTCAGGTTTGCAAGCAGTCACAGAACAAACAGGAAGCTATTTTTATAAAGGTATTATTCACATTGGAAAAGTTTTCTTTTTAGCATACTTGCCAATGGTCAATTTTTTAAAATTACAGATCAAGAGGTTTTAAAAGGCTTTATTTCCATGCCTCTGCCGCACCACAGAATTTTAGGTGCACATGGTACTTAAATAATTTTTAAGTGCAGCCGAAATGTAATTATAGCATTTAGAGTCCATTTAGAATTAGAGTTTCTTTATAGACTTTTTAGTCTTTGTTGTTTGTTGTTGGTTGGTTTTGTTTGGGTTGTTAGTTTGTTTGGGGTTGGTTTTTTGTTTTTTTTTTTTGGGGGGGGGCGTTGCTTGGGTTTGTTTTGTGGATTTTTTTTTTTTTAATAAGTAATCTGTCTGACCAAAGACCAGAGCAGCATGCTTCTATTCTGTCTATAGCCTGTATGGAGCCACAACGCAGAGCGCATACAATGACAGTTACCTTGTCACATTATAGAGGGTATTATTAACCAAATGAGGGAAGCAGCACTCTTCTAGCTAGCAAGACGTTACAAAAATATTAATGTAATTCCTGTAAGCTCCTGTGACTTTATTTAGATGTGAGTGACAGCTTACACTAGTTTTACTGGCAGAGATCCACTAAGCATAGCATGGGAGATACTTGTTTCTTCCGGTGAAAGCGAGTAAAGAGAACGCTTCTGACCACCAAATACTTCTGCTAATTTTTTTAACCTTTTAATTTCATTGACTTTGAAAAAAATCTATTCTTTGTTTGCTACATTTAGGTATAACAACCCCTCAGAACACTTGTTCCATTTGTGTCGAGTAACACAAATCCAAAGTGACTTTCATGAACTCACAAGAGTGTAAATGTGCAAGTACAACACAGACCTCAGGGGGACAAGTTTATCCAAGTGCGATTTCCATTTCAGGATGTGCTCGGCTACATCTATTTTAGCTGCAGCTACCCACAGTGTCCCTGCTGCGCGGAGCAGGTTTGGTGCCACAAAGAGCCCCGCCAGCGAGAGGTTCAGTGCAGCCCCAGAGCCCTTACCGCGGGCTGTCGCACTGAGAAGCTGAGCGAGTGGCCCAGAGTCCCCAGCAGCACCGCTGTGCCAGCTCCAGGGCTCCAGCTGTGCAATGAAGACCTAGGCGTAGCCACGGAAAGCTGTCTGCAATTACTCAGACCCCAAGTTACCACTGTGGCCCGGTACTCCCCAGCAAGCAAGCCGCAAAATTCTCAGCCTTCGCAAGAACCCCACGATGAATTCTAGCTGCTGCAACACTGTTCCTGCTTCACCGTCCACTTTGGCACAGACCCCTGCCCTGCCCTCCACCCAGGCGCCCACCCTAAGGAGCTCCGCTGTATGCTCTTACATACAGACTTGAGCCATCCAGTTTCTTAAATCTGACTATCCCACTCACCCGAGGGGATGAATACACACTCTCAGTGATATTTTCCAACACACAGTAACAGCATCCTCAAAATGCAAACATATATGAAACCAAGAACACAGCAGGCGGTCACAGCCCTCCACACTTGCAGGGTACTGGGACGCCACGGAGGGTGCGGGCTGCCTGGCAGGACTGGGCTCCCCCGGCAGGCAGCTGGCCAGAGGCAGCTTGGCACTCACTGGAGGGGATTACCAAGCCTGGCATTTATTTCCACAAGTCAAGTCAGTTTGTGTAAAAAGGAAATGCAAATCCCATACTGAAGTTCAACGGGAAGGCATGAAAAAAAAAAAAAAAAAAAAAAAAAGGATCTCTGAAGAGCTTCATGCCCGGTAGGAGGGTGCTGAAGTTACTAGAGTGCAATTATACCAGTCAGCTTTCTGATAGTTACGTTCACAAAACAGCTGTTCTGTTTTGAAAACAAGTCTGAGAGAGCAGCGTTTGGCCAAGAATAGTATATCCAGTGACAAACAGAATTCATTTGTACATGTAAGTTAGGAAACCTTTTAGCACTCAAGTTGTGA